ACAAAAAATTAGCCGGGTGTGGTTGCGGGCGCCTGTAGTCCCAGCTACTCGGGAGACTGAGGCAGGAGAATGGCACGAACCCGGGAGGCGGAGCTTGCAGTGAGTTGAGATTGCGCCACTGCACTCCAGCCTGGGTGATAGAGCAAGACTCCGTCTCAAAAAGATTATCACCTACACTAAAAAAATACCTAGGCTATATGTATGCCTCTTTAAAGGTCACATGTTTAGGACAACAAACTACTCAATCTGAAGAATCAAAGAAAACAAAAAGCTAAATCCCTATTCCCCTCAAAATCATATGTTAAACAAGCATCAAGATTAAGAAAGTAAAAGAGAATAAATCTCTCAATCATGCTGGCTTCCATATTCAAACGTGGCAAATTTCATACTTTATACAGAGGTAGCATCCTGGCAGTGACCTAGTTTTTTGAGCAACTAAAATAAACAGTAAAAGGCCTTCAAACTTTGAGATTCAGCCATTGTTAGAAATTAGTGTGTCCCCTGAAAATTCATATTCTGGAATCTTAACCCCCAATGTGATGGGATCAGGAGGTGGTGAATTTGGGACGTAATTACGTCCTGAGTGCAGAGCCTTCAGGAATGGGACCAGTGCTCTTAAAAGAGACACAGATCAAAGTCTATGATATTCTGATTATAGCAGCCCAATCTGACTAAGACATCCATCAAGAATGTTTTGCCTCAGATAATTATTCGCCTCCTTATTTTTTTATTACTACTTTGTACAATGATCATAATATACCAGAATAACAATAACAGCTAGCACTTATATAGAACTTACTCTGTACCAAGTAGTATTATGAGCACTTTATTCTTATTTATTTAATGTATATGCCCACTAATGAGACAGTTACTACTTTGGTAGCTTTTCATAGATGAAGAAACTGAGGCACAGAGAGGTTAAGTAATTTTCCAAGGTCACAATGTAAATGGCAGAGCTGGGGTTTGAACTCAGGCATTTAGATTACAGAATTCATTCCCTAACCACTGTGATATACTACCTCCCTGAATGGGGAAAAAAGCCCCCTGAAATGTTCCAAAGGTATTTTTATAACTTAGTAATACATAAAAAAAAGTTCTTATTACATCCAAAAATAATTTCCCTCAATCAAAAAGACAAAAGTAATACTAAAAAGTCAAGTATATATTTCTAGTGTTTTTTCTCATCTATTCAATTTGGTTCTCTAAGCACACCTCTCCTCATTTCTGTACACATTTAATTAAGAAAGCTTTTGAAACATACAAAAATAGAATGATGAACTCTCATGAATACTTAATACCAACCACCTGCCCAAGCCAGAGTCTACTATCCTCACTCCATCTTATTTTGAAATAAATGCCAAGTATCATAATTCATCTGCAAATATTTCAGCATGTACTGAAAGATCAAGCCCTTCTAAAAAACATAACCACAATACTGTTATCACACCTAAAAAATGAATATTTAATACCAAAGACCTAGTTAATAGTCAAATTTCCAATCATCAGTGAAAATATATCTTCAAGGGTTTCTTTGAATCAGGATCCAGGTTAGCACCACACACAGTGATTGGTTGATCTGTTTCTTAAATTTCTCAATCAATATTAGTGGTTCTCAATCAAGGTGATTTTGCCTCTAAGGGACAATGGACAATTTCTGAAGATGTATTTGATTCTGTCACAACTAGAGCGGTGCTACTGGAATCTAATAAGTAGAGGCCAGGTAAGCTTCTAAATATCCTACAACAAACAGGAGAGCCCCCACTACAACAAAGTAGTATCTAATCAAAAATGTTACTAGTGCCATGGTTGAGAAACCCTGATTCCCTAGGTTCTACCTTGTTCTTTTTTTTTATTTCTTACATTTAATTTATTGAAAACATTAAGCAGTTTGTCATAAAAATCTTCATACAGGTGGATTTTGTTGACTATATCCCCAGGTATCATTTGAAAGGTTTCACCACCCTTTATTTCTTGTAACCTGGAAGTTAAATCTAGAGACTTGACCAGATTCAGGTTTTGTATTTGCTTTTGGGTTTTTTTTTTTTTCTTTTTTAAGGCATGGGGTTGGCAAGATTACTTCTTGGATAGTGTTGTATTTTTCTATCAGGAGGCACATAATGCCTGGTTGTACTCTTTTTAGATATCTGTCAGCCACTTAGCTGGGCCTTGATGCCTAGATCCCAATAGCTTATCAGGGATTGCAAAATCATAATATTTTAACTCAAACATTCCTTCTTCACTCATTAGCTGGAATATTATTCTAGTAAGAACAAACATCTCATCTATTATTTGATTATCTAATAGCAGAGTTTATATAGAAAAGGCAGAATCAGTTGTTAAAGTGAGTTGGCTTCCTAGAATCCTCCAACAGTAACAAATTTTTGTTGCTGTTGCAGTAGTAGTAGTCTTACAGATTCATGGATTGATATAATTGATACATATCAATCTACTGAAGCTATTCTTGTTAACACTCAAGTTTCATATCCTTAGTCAGCCAGTGGTAGCATCTTCAAGTTGGAAGCTGAAACATGACCCAATCGTAATGGTTTCTGATTAGTAGTTTGCTATCAACTCCAAGCTCAGTTTCAGGCCTAGAATCAGGCATTCCTCCAAGGAACTGGTTCTTTTAAGTAGGTTGCTGTCACTTTTTTGTTTTTTTAGCTCTGGAACATTCATTGTCTAATTTTAAGAATATTTTCATTGGGTTTTTTTCTCTCGCCTGAAATTCTTATTATTTGAATTTAGGCATGTTTTTCTCTCTTCTCTACATTATTTAACTTTAATATTTTCTACTTTTTAATTTCCTTCTTGTCTCCTGGGAAATTCTACAACCAGCTCTCATAATTAATTTGTAAATTCTTCTGTAGTTTGATTTTAATAAACCTACTACTCTTTTAAATATTCTCTAGTAGTGTTTGAAAGAGAGTTAATGGCCTGTGCTGGTTCTCCATCTTGTTCTCTTCATTATTTTTTTCAAAAGCATATATTTGTAAGTGTGCTTCATGTTTTAAAACGTAAAAATATTAGTTTTATTTAAAAAAACTTCAACTTTAATTTTCATTGTAAAAAGTTAAAGGTAATATATAGAAGAAATAAAATCAACTAAAATAACTACATAATCACACAGTAAAACATGTATTCTCTTCAAGATTTTATTTACATTTTTTAAATTCTAGTTAGACAAATAGATAGTATATACAAAGAACTTTTATCTTGTATATTTGCTTAAATGTTTATCCCAAGGGTCTTCATATACAGCTATTCTTCAAAATAAAATGTCAAACTAATTTTCATGTGCTTAGTGCAGTGCCTGCAACACATAAGTTCTGTATAACTGTTTATTATATCATAGAATGCTTTATCATTACTAAGTCAAAATTAAAATGCAACCATTTTCTTCCTGTAGCACACTGTAGTGGTTTCTAATTCTGCAATTACCATCAATGATTCCATAAATAACTACGTATGTTCAGCACCCCTCACTCTGAACTTTCAAATTACTTCCCTAGGAAAAATTTCTAGAAATGAGATTCACAGGTCACAGGGTATGAATATTTTTCTAACAATTTCCATTAACTCAGTAACTATAAAGTGTCATTTGGATTTAAATGTGTATTCCTTTGAATATTAGCCAGATTACACACTTTTAAACATCTACTACTCAAATTTCCTTTTGTATAATAAAGGCATTACAGTTTAATAGGTAACTGCTATTAGTTCAGTGATGATATTTCATATTTATCTTCATTATTAGTTATTTTGTTATTACACAGGGACCATTCTATGCTTTTAAAATGTGTTATTTTCACTCATAATAATAACTGGAGGCCTATAACATTTTCAGTTTGAATTAATGAATATTGTTAAATTATTTTAAATCATGATTCTAGCTATACTGATGTAGTAACAATCTTTGACTTTCATATGTATCTTTTCCTTGCCTTGCCTAAATTTGCCCTTCTTTGTTGGGGTGTTCACAATTTTTCCCTCCTTTCTGAATTTACTTTACGTCTGTCAGTAAAGAGAATCATTCTGAATGTGATACTTTAGTAGCACAATTTCAGACTCCTGAAATGTCAGATACTGAAAAATGTTCCTTAGTTAGATTTTTTTAACTGCTGGTATAATGTTAAATATTCTTAAAATTTGGTGCTTTTCAAATTTTATATTCTACAATTTTTGAACTCAGAATACAAATATTTTATATATATATAAAATATTCCTGCTATACACACACACACACACACACACACACATATAAAACAGACCAATGCTGCAGAGGTGTATGTCTCTAAATGGGGATGGGAGTGGAAGGAGATAAAGAGAAAGAAGAAGACAGAGCCTGAGTGACCTTGAATCTCATTACAACTTCAGCCAGTAATATTGTTACATATAATAGTATATTATTTAGTACTTATTGAAGCAACTAGCTCTTAGTCCTGAGTCTATTGCTAAATAGTTAAGTAGTTTTTTTATAATCTCACTCATTTTTACTTACTTTTTTCTCAGGTTACTGTTTTATTGATATATAATAATTTTACATAATTTTGTGGTACATGTCACATTTTAATATCTGTATGCAATGTGTAACGATCAAATCAGGGTAATTGGGATATAAGTGATTTTTTAAGAAGTCTTTAAACCTATTTCTCCATTGCATTATCATAGAAATGTGGAATTAGATTTAATCTCTATAATCCCCCCCAGCACTAAAATTCTAATGATTTGTTTGCAAACCTATATTTAAGATGTTTTTAAGTAAAGAACATTGCTTACATTTCTGAATCTCAAAAGAATACAGTGCTATGCAGGGAACAGATACTGTGAAATAACTGTTGGTTAGTTGACTCTAAACAGATTTAACAAATAAAAATCTTTCTCTGTGTGGTGTAGTAATAGAATTTCATTTCTGAGGAAACAGCATTTTAATGTCTCATCAAATCCAATAAATCAGAGTTCTACCAATAGTGAAACATAAATATATAAAAAAAAGTACTCACCAATATATCTTGGCCAACATGCTGCTTTCCCTTTTCCTCTTGTGGTCCTAATATCAATTTCCCAGTAGAAAAAAAGGGTGTGTCCAATGTCTTATATACCTTCAACTCACCATGTTTAACAAAAAATTGATATGTATCTTGTGGCCTTACAAGATCTAGGAGCAAAACAGTAATACAAATATAAAACAACAGCAATGATATTGGTTAATAACATATAAACATACATGTAATAAAGAGTTATTTCTGGATATAAGTCTGCCTTAGAGAGATAGAGCCATTTCAGATCATTAACTCTAGAGATAGAATGCCAGAGGTCAAATCCTGTCTCTGTCTTAAAAGCTGCATGACGTTATGCAAGTTAACTTAAGCTCTCTCTCACTGTGCCTCAATTTCCTTTTTGGTAAAATGAAATAATAATAAGTTCATCTATTCGATGTTAATGAGCTGCTGTGAATATCAATGAGTTAATGTGTGTAAATTATTTAAAATATTTTCTGGCAAAAAGTAAGCATTGTTAGTACCAGCTGAAGAATACGAATGGCAGCATTATAGGAACTGAGACAGAAAATAAAATTAGCTGAGATACAAAAAAGAATTCTTTATTTTTAAAGTTTGACATAAACCACAATGTATCATCACCATGCCAATAGATTTTTTTTCCTGCTTGACTAATAATTTTTATTAGGTAAACTTTGTGAGAAAGCAGAGCTCTAATGGTCGCTCATAAATTACTACCTCACTTACAAAAATTTCCATCACTTAACAAACCTTTCCAGATCTATAATTAATAAACTATTCTATATATATATATATAGAGTCTGGTTGTTAAACAGTTGAGTAATACATAAACTTCTATCCCACTATAACCCATCCCTTGGGCATCTTACATGACCTGCTAGAGACTAAATATTTAATACCTATTCAATACAGCAGGAGGCTTCCATGACTTTGCAGCACCAGCTTTAAGGTTAAACCTGGCATTTGTACAACTGATTGATGCCCTTGTTAGTCATCCTCACAAAGGATTCATATTCCAGGTAACATTACTGCCACCTGTAGGCCCAAAAGTTTGTCTGTGCCCTACCCATGATCCCTGCCTGGCCTCATGGTAAGAGTATCCTTGAGTCTGCCAACTATCTACCTATAATTCCCCATAAACAGCCTCTGTTCCCATGTGTCCTCCTGGTCAAAGAAGGCCTAGACGCTGTTGGGGGTGGACAACATTCCTGATTGTAGCACTTGTGCCCCAGAGAACAAGTCCAGGGTATTACGTGTACCCTGGAGTTGTCTGACATCAATATTCCCCTACAGTTGTCTTCATATAGGCTGCTTATTGGAATTAGACTCTCTTCTGGACTTTAGCACTGATAGAATTGGGGAGAGAAAGGGAAAGTAGAGAGGCCAACCATCAAGCAAGCAATGTTTTCTTACCAGTTGTTTAATTAAGTATTTTCAATATCATCCCTGATCTTACCCATGAGAATAATCTCTCTTGTTTCTGGGTCCTTTACCCTCGTTGGCTGCAAAGGATCTCCAAGAGGTATACCTAGATTTACCATTAAGCTAGTCTCTGCAAAAGAAATACCATTGAAATATGAACTACTTACTTAAAATTATTCTCAATCCTAAAAAAGTTCAGTACAAAATATAGCTATAGAGAAGTTATAAAAGAAAAATGTTAAAAGCATAAAAGTATCTTCCTATTTATAAATCACTCTGATAAACAAAAATTCAAACTTAAAAACCCATAATGATTTAATATAAAAGCAAATACCCTAAACTTCCTATTTTCTGTAAGCCTTAACATGTAAACTCTTGCATCGTCAATGAATTAAGTGATGTTCTGCATAATCTCTAAGTGAGATAGAGGTATATAATATACTTTAGAAATGTCTTTTTTAACCATAGTTTGGGCATAGGAATGGTAGGTTTCATTTGACTGGGCAATTTACTCATGAAGAAATTTACAATATGCTATTAATAATTTGTAAGAATAAAATTAGCTTACTTTCCATTTGGAAGAAAGTAGACATTAAAAAATGAATTTTACCTATGGTATTATTTCTGAAGTTTTTGGAAGTAAATTTCATATTTTGCAAACAGCTTCTTCTCAAAGTACTCCTATTTAAAATAAAATCTAAAAGTTACTTTCAGAAATAAGTTCATACTTCTTTCATCATTATCAAGACAGATCCTTTTCTTATTAGACTTTTTGTCGACTTTTCCAATATTTTCTTTTGCCTTCCTTTTAGACGACATTGTGTCTGGAGACAGTATCCCACCAATCACGAATCCTCCTAAAATTTAACAAAAAAAGTAAAATGTACATGGGAAAGAGAAAATCTTGCAACAAAACTCCTTAAATTTAATACGGCATATTTCCTTTCAAAGTACCAAAGAATATAGATGTCTGCAGCTAATAGTTAAAATAACACAAATACCAACCAATTTCATTATATCTCTACCACCTTAAATCAGAGGCTGATAAAACAGGATTAGATGATGGAACATGATTAGATGGTCCTATTGCTCGCCTGAAATCAACAGTCATCAGCAGAGGCTTTAAAAAAAAAAAAAGCAGGAGGGCTAGCAATGAACTATTTATAGAAATCCACCTGAGTTTAGTCCTTTGGCTTAGATATATCCGCCAAAGAAACAAATATGGCCAGGCACAATGGCTCATACCTGCAATCTCAGCACTTTGAGATGCCAAAGCGGGAGGATTGCTTGAGCCCATGAGATTGAGACCAGCCTGGACAACATAGCAAGGCCTCATCTCTACAAAAATAAGAAAGAAAATAACTCTAAGATGAACACTATACTCTCTTGCCCACCCTACACTACTCTGTAGAAAACTATGAGAAAATGGAAAATGGTTAATAGGAAAAATAATGAAAACTACTTTACCTTTACCAGTTACAATTTTTTCATGTTCTAATCTAATGTTTTATATTATGCAACTGGAAATCTTGTCAGATAATACAGGAATAACATTCAGCTACCAAAGAGAAAGTATCAGCATCTCTACATTAATCAGACAAAAATGAATTTAAATCCTATTATCAAAATTTGGGGGGTGATGATTAAGTAAGGTAACGTATATAAACATGTAGTGTAGCATTTGGCACATAGTAAACAAATTTCTTATTGACAGACATTATAACATAAATAAGTTTTACCTGATGGCCTTCCTTGATAATCTATTCGCTCTCCTCGCCAGTACTCCAAAGGTTTCAAACGTGTTCTCTTGGTCCTGCGAACATTTGGTGTGTTGGAGGGCAATACTATAAAAAGATGTCAGACAAAAGTGTATACATGTTTTTTAGTTGATGGTACTTAGCAGTGGAAAGACTATCTTTCAGAAAATGAATGCTTTATTTTTAAAAATATGAATGTTTTTCTAGACAAAAGACTAGAAAAAACATATATTTATGCTAATAATTAAAGAAATGCCAATGGAAACACAGGCTATCAAATTGGCAAATAGTTAAAAATTTAATAATACTCAGTGCTGACAATGTTAAATGTCCACTCATCTTATCTGAACAATGCAAAGTTCTGTATACTAAATTGAGTTTGTTGGCTATATCTTCAAATTCCCATGTTCTTACCTACTTTTGTTTGCTAAAGCTATCCTGAAGCTAATGAGAAGTTGCCTACTGCTCTTAGGCATAATGCTCAATGTTCCCCTCTGTATATACTGAAGCCCTGCTCAGGAACATTTTTATTTCCCCCCTACTCCTGATTCATCATTTCACTTCAAGACAAGCATTAAGTATTGAGAGGTATAGCAGTCTCTCATCACATAGGCCCACAAAATACTGACAAGATCTAAGTTCTTGAGTAAGGCAATGAGAGAAAGCTTCACTTCTTCTGGTAATCTCTCAGTATGAATGCAAGAGCACTCACAGCCTCAAATAAAGGGAGAAACATGGAAAGCCACTCAACATCACAGAAAGGTGGGAACTATCATGTATCTTGACTGGCAAATATCTCTTTGGGAACCATGGATTGTTAATCTTTACATGGGCCTCTCCATGGGTTCCACAGTTCTCAGCTTTGTCTACTTACTACCTTAGCTACTGCTTTGTTCAGGAGTTAAGTGGATTAAAGTGGAAGGAGATGCTGTCAAGGAAGCCATCTACCTGGTAGTTATAGTTTCTTTTTTTTTTTTTTGGTAGTTATAGTTTCTTTGATAAAATTATCCACCCTAGCTTCATAGATAAGGGAGGATCATGCCCCCTACTATGGGGCAAAAAGTGAGAGAGCAATAGGATTTATAAATAGACAATAGACTAATTCAGTGGCTTGTGGTGACTTACTACGAAATTCATAAAAACTAAGTGCATAATTTTAATTTATCTGCCAATTAATCCAAGTAATCGTATTTTTCCTGCTTAAGAAAAGTAACTTATATTTAGAAACAGAAACTCAACGAAAGTATTTTTCTCAATGAAAATATTAAAAAAGAAAAATATTCTTACCTAGTTTGTGATGGATTCTGTTCTTTGGTATCACTTTAGATCGTTTTGAGTCATCTACAAAATGCAAGATAGTATCACAAGAAATGACTGCTAATTCTATGTTAAATTAAAATGTGTTTCTGGTCAATTTCAGTATGAGGATTTTAAATAAAGTTTGACCTGATAATATATTTTATTATTCCTTCTGCTCAACTATAAAAACTAAGGAAAAGAACTATTTCTCTAGATTTTGCTAGAATGAATATCATCGCAAGCTTGTCCAATCCGCCTTATTTTGTTGTTGTTGTTCTGTTTTGTTTTGTTTTAGGCGTTTAGCAGCCTGAAACCATGCTTTTTAGTTTCTGTCTCTGGAGACAAGTGGAAAAGAGGGATGAGGAAGGGGTTTTACTGGATCAACCAGAAACAGAAACTTAAAAACTCATGACTATATTCGCTCCCTTGGACAACCTTGGTTTTTATTCTAAAGAGTGTAACAGTTTAAAAAACAAACAAAAAAAACCACACAGATTTTCTATTGCTCATGGAAATAAGCCACTGGTGGATAAAATATAGGGCCTGATAATGCATAATTAATATGTTATTTATGAACTACCTGTAACTTCTCCTTAAAGTTCTAAAATAGTGTAAGTGTACTGAATTTAGCAGTGTGCCAATGAGCTTAGGGGTTCTCAACTTTGGTAACTAGCACCTAAAGATGGTGTCATCCCTTCTTTCCCTTTCTATGCACAAATGTTCTGTATCAAGAAGTAGAATATTGTTCCCTTCTCTTTCAATCTCTGCTGGAGTTAGTGACTTGCTTAACTAATAGTATGCAACAGAAATGATGTTCTGGGGCTTAAAAGGCTAAGTCCTAATATAATCTACAGGTTCCATCTAGAAGTCTTGGGATCTCAGTCTAGGGGAAGACAGCAACAATATGAAGATTAACACAAGACTACCATGCTGTAAGGAAACCCAATGTGGCCACATGGAAAAGCCACATGGAGGAAAAGAGATGTTTAGCCAACCTCAATGTCCCAGCTCTTCTAGCTGGGTTCAAATATATAAGTGAGGAAGTTGCCTTGAATGTCCAACCCAGTTCAACTTTCAGATGACTCCAGTCCCAGCAGCTTGCATTTAACTATAAATTGATGAGTGTACTCAAGTGACAATTACCCAACTAAGCCAAGTCAATTCACAGAACCATGAAAGATAAATCAATCATTGTATTAAGCCTTTAAGTTTTGGGGTGGTTAGTTACACAGCAATATACAACTGGGACACAATGTCTGTGAACCACCTAAAACTGCAAACACAATTTTGTATGAAATATATACCTTTTTTCCCTGAAAAGTGGGTCTGAGCTTTTATCATATTCTCAAATGAGTCCATGAAAGCAAAAAAAAAAAAGTTATTTTATAAAATTGTTGGTTTGGAAGAAACTTCAGTGATCATTAACATCTAATTTCCCTGTCAGAAATAGGCAAATCTCTAGACATCAAAAGTAGATTAGTAATTGGGTAGGCCCAGGGAAAGGAAATGAAAGTTGGCTACTAAAGGGTAAACGAGTTTCTTTTTGGGGGTTATGAAAACGTTCTAACATCGATTGTGTCAATGACTACATATCATTGATTTGTATACTATAAGTAGATTAATTATATGGTACGTGAAGTCTAGCTCAATAAATCTGTGTACCCCCACCCCCAAAAATCCAATTTCCCACGCAGTCTCCACTAGAACAAGCAGAGGTCTCATCTCTGTTGGAAATTCTCCTGTGACACTGGGCCTCGGAGGCAGCGTCAGAGTCATATAAGGAATCACAGAAACAAGTAAATATACTGAGGATAATGGGAGTCAGGTTTGTCACTATTTGAGAAGAGGTTTATAAAAATGGAAAAGGGGAAGTCTATGTTGGACTGGAAGAGCGGGTAGAAATGTGAACTTATAATAAATACAGGCGGCCAGGCGTAGTGGCTCACGCCTGTAATCCCAGCACTTTGGGAGGCCGAGGTGGGTGGATCAGGAGGTCAGTTCGAGACCAGCCTTACCAAAATGGTGAAACCCCATCTCTACTAAAAATACAAAAATTAGCCGGGCGTGGTGGTACACGCCTGTAACCTCAGCTACTCAGGAGGCTGAGGCAGGAGAACAGCTTGAACCCAAGAGGCGGAGGTAGCAGTGAGCCGAGATCGCACCACTGCACTCCAGTCTGGGCGACAGAGGGAGACTCCATCTTAAAATAAATAAATACATACATACATACATACATACAAATACAGGCATACCTCAGAGATATTGCCAGTTCAGTTCCAGACTACTGCAATAAAACAGATGCTGCAATAAAGCAAGTCAAACAGCTTTTTAGTTTCCTGGTGAATATAAGAGCTATTTCTTTGGCTGTTTTATTTTGTTTTTTTGAGACAAAGTCTCACTCTGTCACCCAGGCAGCAGTGCAGTGGTGAGATGGAGACTCACTGCAGCCTCAACCTTCTGGGAGCAAATGATTCTCCCGCCTCAGCCCACCAAGTAGCCAGAACCACAAATGCACACCACCATGCTCAGCTAATTTTTGTATTTTTTTAGAAACAGGTTTTTGGCATGTTGGCCAGGCTGGTCGCCAACCTGGGCTCAAGTGATCTGCCTGCCTCACCTCCCAAAGTCTTGGGATTACAGGCGTGAGCCACCATGCCCAGCCAAAAGTTATGTCTATACTATACTATAGTCTATTAAATGTGCAAGAGCATTATATCCAAAAAAATCAGTGTACACACACCTTAATTTAAAAATATTTTATTGCTAAAAATGTTAAAGATCAGCAAGGCATAGTAGCTCATGCCTGTAATCCCAAGACTTTGGGAGGCCCAGGAGGGTGGATCACTTGAGGCCAGGAGTTGGAGACAAGCCTGGCCAACATGGCGAAAACCCGTCTCTACTAAAAATAAAAAAAATTAGCTGGGTGTGGTGGTGCACACCTTGCAATCCCAGCTACTCTTTGTGGCTATGGCACAAGAATCGCTTGAACCCAGGAGGAAAAAGGTTTCAGTGAGTTGAGATCATGCCACTGCACCCCAGCCTGGGAATTAGAGCAAGCCTCTGTCTCATTCTCAAAAAATAAAAATAAAAAATAAAAATAAAAATGCTTATCATCTGAGCTTTCAGTGAGTTTTAATCTTTTTGTTGGTAGGGTATTTTGCCTCATTGTTGATGACTGCTGACTGATCAGGCTGGGATGCTTGTGGCAGTTTCTTAAAATAAGTCAATAATGAAGTTTCTCTGGAGAATATAAAACGCTGTTTTATAGCATTTTACCCACAGCAGAACTTCTTTCAAAACTGCAATCAATCCTCTCAAACTCTGCTTCTGCTTTATCAACTAAGTTCATGGTATATCCTAAATCCTTTTTGTCATTTCAAGGGTTCACAGCATATTCACCAGGAGTAGATTCCACCTCAAGAAATCAGTTTCTTTGTTCTTCCATAAGAAGCAACTCCTCATCTGTTCAAATTTTGTCATGAAATTGCAGCAATTCAGTTTCATCTCCAGACTCCACTTCTAATTCTAGTTCCCTTGCTATTTCTACCACATCTAGTTACTTCCTCCACTGAAGTCTTGAATCCTTCAAATTCACCCATAAGGGTTAGAATCAACTTCTTCCAAGCTCCTGTTAATATTGATATTTTGACCTCCTCCCACGAAACACAAATATTTTTAAGGGCATCTAGAATGGTGAATCCTTACCAGAAGGTTTATTTATTTTGTCCAGATCCAAAAGAGGAATCCTATTCATGACAGCTACTGCCTTACAAAATCTATTTCTTAAATAAGACTTAAAAGTCCAAATTATTCCTTGATCCATGCAGGGGCTGCAGAACGAATGCTCTCTTAGTAGGCATGAAAGCAACATTAATCTCCTCATCCTAGTCCATTAGAGCTGCTGGGTGGCCTGGTGCATTGCCATGGATGTGCTGTCACTCAGGCTTTGTTGTTCTACTAATAGAGCAAAGTAGATTTAGCATAATTCCTAAGGATTCTAGGATTTCTGAAATGGTAAATGAGCACTAGTTTCAACTTAAAGTCACCAGCTGTATTAGCCCTTACCAAGAGAGTCACCTTGGAAGTCTGACCTTGGAAGCTCTGAAGTCATGCACTGACTTCTCATTAGCTATGAACGTCCTAGATGACATCTTCTTTCAATAGAAGGCTGTTTTGTCTACAGGGAAAATCTGTTGTTTAGTAAAGACACCTTCAATTATCTCAGCTACATTTTCTAGATAACTTGCTACAACTTCTACATCAGACCTTGTTGCTTCACCTTGCTCTTTTATGTTATGGAAACAGCTTCTTTCCTTAAACTTCATGAACCAGCCTCTGCTAGCTTCAAACTTTTCTTCTGCTGCTTCCTTAACTCTCTCAGCCTCCACAGAATTAAAGAGAGTTAGGGCCTTGCTCTGGATTAGGCTTTGGCTTAAAGGAATGCTGTGGCTTGTTTAATTCTCTGTCCTGACCACTGAAACTTTCTCTGTATCAGCAGTAAGGCAGTTTCTCTTTCTTATCATTCATGTGTTCATTGTAGTAGCACTTTTCTTTTCCTTCAAGAACTTTTCCTTTGCATTCACAAATTGGCTGTTTGGTGCCAGAGGCCTAGCTTCTGGACTAGCTCGGTTTCTGACATGCCTTCCTCACTAAGCTTAATCATTTCTAGCTTTTGATTTAAAGTGAAAAACGTGTGACTCTTTCTTTTACTTGAACACTTAGAAGCCATTGTAGGGTTATTAATGGCCTAATTTCAATATTGTGTCTCAGGAAATAGGGAAGCCTGAAGACAGGGAGAAAGATAGGGAACTGGCCAGTCAGCAGAGCAGTAAGAACACATGAATTTTCACTTTCTTATGTAGGTGTGGTTTGCAGTGCCCCAAAACAATTACAATAGTAATGTCAAAGATCACCTGTTCACAAATCACCATAAAAGACATAGTAATGAAAAAGTTTGATATACTGTGAAAATTACCAAAATGTGACACACAGACACAAGGTGAGCAGACGCTATTGAAAAAAAAAAAAAAAATGGTGCCAAT